TATATATATATATATATATATATATATATATATATCTTCATTTATTTATTCATGAATCATGGTATATTTGATTGTATTGTAATCAGGCGACTCTCAACATAGCCGGTAACACAATCAACGCTCAAGCCATCGAGCATTTTATCCTCAGGAAACCGAAAGACAAACTAGTCAAAGAGGTACATTTATTTATTTATTTATTTTTAGCCAATCATGATTTTTTGCTTCATCTGATAATGTGACTTGGCTGCTCAGATTCTTGGCAAAGACGAACGAGACACTAAGAAAATGATCGTCCACGAACTGTACGGAATCGAGTCACCTGACCCAAACATCATATTCGCCTTGTGCTGTGGCACTCGTTCTTCTCCAGCAGTAAGTAGCTCAAAAAACAACACTCATGACAACTTATTAAGGGAGTTTTTGTACAAAAAATATTTAAAATGTGATTGTTATTGGATTTCTATTCATTTGGTTGTAAAAAAAATAGGTGAAGGTATACACAGCTGATGGAGTGGCAGGGGAGCTAGAGAAGTCGAAACTTGATTACCTGCAGGCAGCAATAATGGTAACAAGCTCGAAAAAAATAGCAGTCCCCGAACTTGTGCTGAAGAACATGAACGATTTTGCACACGACAAGGAATCGTTGACCGAGTGGATTTGCCATCAGCTGCCGGCATCGTGCTCTCTCAGAAAAGCGATAGTCGATTGTTTAAGGGGCCCACATGCTGCTGGCAAGGCATCATCTGCTGTTGTGGACAACATGCCCTATGAGTTTGAGTTTCAGTATTTACTGCCTACATGATCATCCTTTCAAGTTTCAAATTATAGCGTGTAACTATAATTCTTTTTTTTTTTTCCTCTCTCTCTCTACTTTGGTTTAATTCTTTGGTATTGAATTTGGTGAAAAAAGGGACTAGTGTCATAAGAGATTATACATATCAATGTATGGAGTCACATTATACTTTAGCATCATGGAAATGAATATATGGCTAGGCAAGCCTTGGATCAACTTTTGTACTTAATTTAGTTTTTCGCCCCATCTATATATATAATAAGAATTAACTTAAATCAAATATAGTAAGTATTTCTCGTTATTATGCATTAATTACATCCTAATTATAGTAATTTTACCAAATTCTTTAAAAAAAATCTTGAGGCATTAATTGAAATCAGTTTTAACTTCCCTTAACAATCGGATTTATTGTTTTAAAAAGATACTCCATAATATTTGATTAAACACTAAATACGGATGTTTGGAATCAATTATATTTAAAAGCAATATTATTATGCAATAAATTATTATAGAGTATCGTTTTAAAAGCTGTATAATTATATAATCAAATAATTTACCACGATTCATCTTTTTAATTCATTCTGTATCTCGTTTTAGACTTATCAATCCATTTTAATATAAAGTAGAACTTTACAATAATCATGGTATCAATATTAATAATATAAATGCTAAATAAAATTTAATTATTTGGACTGTACACTAATTTATTATATATATAAATAAATTGCATATTTGAACTTTAATTTTTTTATTTTTTTCACATATAATTATGCAATATATGCAACTTAACTAAAAGTAAATAATATTGTAAAGATTTCATTCAATCATGATAACATGTTTTTTAAAATTGCCACAATATTCGATTCACTATTCCACTACTCATGTAAATATCTTTTTGTTTATAATATCACAATTATTTTTTTATCAGTTTGAATCAATTTATTTATGAAACATTTTTTCATTTAAAAACCGTGATTTACATGTTCTCCGATTCATTTAGTTAGTTTTGAGCTACAAATGGTAAAATACTGTTGTTTTGTTTTTTTTTTTTTAACATAATTATTTTTGTAAATACTGTCTTACAAAAGATACAATCAAAATTCTAAATCTCTGTTAAAACATAAGAAAACAAAAATGTTCTTAATATTGGAATGAATTTGGCATAAAAATGAAAATGATTGAAAAAAAAAAAGATATACTCAAAATCCACACTTTAAGGTAACAACTTTTCTTATATTTCATATAAAATTAAACTTCACCAAAATAAATCATATCTTTATTTCGTGGTGGTAACATTCCGAAAATCAACAAAAATTGAAGGAAGGAGGTGTCTATGCAATTCGCAATTTTCAAGTGGAGAACAATATTGGTAAATATCAATTTACGGTTGCCAAGTGAAAACAATTTTGCATGAAAAAACAAAGAGGTTTATAATATATTTTATGATTTTTTCATAATGAACATTTTACGATTACATAACAAATGCTCTAATTATTATAACTTATTGATTAATAGCCTTCAATTATAAATTTTACCAAAACAAATACAGTTAGTGCATCGCACGGAGTTACGTCCCAGTTATATAACTATTCTTTCTTTTTTCACATCGTCCCACTAAATATATTCTTTTCCACCTCAAATTTCATGAAATGTTATGCGATATTATAATCGTATATCCAAATGAACTGCATAATTAACAATTATGCGAAAGACTTACGCTTTGTAATCACATCATTAAATCAACCGCATAATTTACAATATGCGAAAAAATTTCGAGATTTTGTCGCATATATACCAACGTATATCCAAACCAGACACACAATTAATAATTGTGCGAAAGACTTTCTCATATTTTGTAATCACATATCCAAGTCAACCGCATGGTTAATGATATGCAAAAAAACTTTTTCATATTAGTTATCTCATATCCAAATCGAACGTTGCATAATATACGATTATGTGACATTTTTTTGTGTAGACTACGACTCGTATATCTAAATCTATATGTCCGGATAAATTACAATTATGAGTAAATATTTTTACATATTCACGAATCACTTATCCAAATCAAATGCCGCATAAGTTACGACTATCCGCAATTTTTTCGCAGATTCATATCAACCTCGCATAATTAATGGCTATGAATAACTTGCAAGAAACTTTCATTTGCATGCTTCCTTATTAGTTGAGTTGATGTTTATCTACTACCATTATTACTAATTTACACACATAAATGTAAAACTTTTATCGGTATCCTATTTTTTCGATCGCAAAAA